ACAGTAGAAGGCTTCTGTAGACTGTGTTGCTTCAACACTATCTCAAATGAAAAACAATGATTAATGTTAAAATAAAATATATTATATACTAATTTTCTATGCTAATGAAAGTTAATATATCAATTGTTTAGTTATAAATAGTAACTCTCAAAAAATAAAAAAAATTATATTCAATATAAAAGAAAAATTCTTTAGACATCATGTTAGCTGGACACTTAATTGTACATCCTTTGCCTAACAAAAATTCTGGATGCGCATCTGATCTTATTCTCAATTTTCAATTCTTTAGAAAGCATATTGATTAATATTCCGAGCACTTTTTTAAACCTTTTTTCGTACGTAAAATTGCACGAATTCGTTCTAGGATTTTCTCCAAGTACTGATTTAAGGGAAAAATTGTTCTGCAAAACTATCTTTGAAATGTTGTTTCCAAGTCACTAGTCTTGCTTAATTGTACCACTATGAAAATAGTGGCAGTATCGTGTTCAGACTATAACAACCCCAAACCATTACTTCTGTTGATTTATATTTTGTTTATGACTCAATGACGTGCCCCACACAGTACTTCGAACAAACGAACAGATTCATCACTGAAGCGAACTCAATTACTTCTTAGAGTAATTGTAAAATAATTAAATAAAATCAATTCATGTTTTCTCAAAAACATGCTAAAAAAGCTGCGTTTTGAGATATCAGCAACATCATCAGGTGTAAATGAAATTTGTTGATCCAAGAGTGGAATGTGTTGTTAGCTTGTGAAAATAACTATGTTTAATAATTCTGCTACCTGTATGATTTTGTAGTCAATCTTAGGAAATGCTGGATCACTTCACAAATAAAATTTTTCTTTTTTTGTGATTTATAAAAACTTAATTTTGCCCCTTAATTTGATGAGATTAAGCGCATGGCTAGCGGTTTTGAGTGTGAAGAGAAATCGTAGTAAATTCATGATGAAGAGGGATTTTATTGACTTCGTTGATTTCGTTTCCGGAGGAGCTTCGGTTAGTCGGTGAGAGCGTAGCGGGAGGATACCGCTGTGTAACCAGAAGGCGAAACGACCGTTTCCTTTCCACGTTGGAGAGCTTAAGTGAAAGTGTTGATTCGCGTTTCGCATTTGTAATACGTGTTCCTTCGCACTCAAATAATAGAAACTTACGTTGCTTCGTGAACCAGAAGAGCACCGATTAATCCTCTTGATTCATATTCAGAAAGTTAAAACGGTTGAACATATTGATTGAGAAGAAATTCTACAGTCAATTACAGTAGTACTGTCAATTTGAAATATGTAGCTCTTTTTACAAAAAAAATTTTGAGTTTTCGAAAAACTTTGTTTCTAGTCATTTGAAGTACATGAACTCAAATACAATAGTGTTTACAAATCTCTGGAAATGTGTATATCAACGGCGTGAGAGACCATTCAAAATATTTACGTTTGTGTAATTTTTGAAGAAAAAAATACACCAAAATTAACTTCATGTCATATTCAAGAGTGGAATTACCACTCTCCGTTCAAAATGTCAAAAGAAAAAATTGGTAGCCGTTTTTAAGAAAATGGCGTTTGAGCGTTTCTGAAAATGTGGAGTTTTGAGTTAGTTTTCACAGAAAACTGCAGAGTTTTCAGGAAACTGTATATGACATTATTTAAAGCACATGTACTCATAAATACAATAATTTGAACAAATTGTTTATAATATGAATAACAATGAGAGACAAAAAATTATATATATATTTTTTTTTATTTTCGAAGAAATATAAACTAGAGCAATATAGCGTTTATGTAATCTTAAAAGAGTACGTTTAGCACAGTCCCTACCGAAACTTTAAAGAAAAAAATTGATAGATTTTTGAGAATATATGATTTTTGTATTTTTTAACATTACTCATATGGCTCGCAATATAGCGCGAACACTTCTAAAATTTTCAAAACAATGTGCATGACCTTTGTGATAGAACTGGGTATAGAGAACAAATTTTATATGAAAGAAAAATCTCTACCTCTAATTTCGTAGTTATAGTAGGGCACCGAAAAATATTCATACTTTTGAAATTTTCGGAAATTCCTAGTTAACCATGCAAATCGGACCCATTCCACTTTTATAAGTATATATTACACTATTCTTACCAGAAATTTAAAGAAAAAAATTGCAGCCGTTTTTGAGAAAATTTTGTAAATGCCCGGAGGGCTTTATGTAAAGTACCACCAAAGTTTAAAGAATGTTTTTTTTCAAAATCTCAAAGCTTTGACTCGAGCCAGATGGACAGGAGTTTCTTCAATTTGGAAAAAATCCTACGCATGGTTTAGCCGTTAGTAGTCTTCACAGACAGGCCAGACGAACGAAAAAAAAAAAAAAACTTTTCGAACTCGATTTTGGTGTTCCCTAATACCGGAAAAGTGGTACTTTTCAGAACGTCCGTCTGTGCGATTGTGAACATTACTAGCGCTTAAACCGTACGTAGGAGTTTTTACAACTTGAAGAAATCGATGTTGATCTGGCTCGAGTCGAATCTTGGAGATTTTGAATAATATTTTTAAATTTTGATTGTACTTTGCATGAAGGCCCCCGGACAGATTCAAAATTTTCTCAAAAATGGCTCCAAATTTTTTCTTCAAATTTCTTGCAAGAATATACTAAAATAATCCTATAGGTGGCATAAGTCCGATTTTTGCGGTGAATTTGTTCAACGCTAACGAATTTTTGCGGTGTGCAATTGCAAAAGTTTGAATTTCTTGCGCCTCCTTCCTTCAACTCTAAAATTCTGGAAATCTGGTTTATTGTAATGATGCCCATGAGCTCATAAAGTGCTTTGAAATTGAATATGATTCTTCAGAACATGGCGCATATTCACTGATACATCTACAACTAGCCTCAAAGCAGTCTTCCTGCATAACGGAAATTATTTGCGCTCTTCCTATGAAACTATACTTGGTTCGTACGATAGAAAACTATAATGTCTTGGCTACGATTCTTGAAAAAATCAAATATCAAGAGCATCAATGGATGGCTTGTGGAGATTTCAAAATACTAACCATGTTGTTGAGTCAATTGTGGTCAGTTGGATGAGTATTGGGTTGTACAAAATATGCTTGCTTTCTTTGCTTATGGGATAGTTGGGCCACACTACACTTTACAAACACTGATTGGCCTCGTCGAAACCTCGTGTTGAACACCCGACGAGAAAAACGTCAATACGACCTTGGTTCCCCTAGAGCAAGAATTATTACCTCCTCTTCATATTATATTAGGTCTTATTGAACAGTTTGTCAATTCATTGCCAAGAGATGGGGGTTGTTTCAGATATCTGGGTTCCAATTTCCCGGAAGCCAAGTTTAAAGAGGGAGTTTTCACTGGCCCCGATATTAGAAAACTAACTGATTCCCTCTTTATAAAAACAATAGGAGATAAGAAAAAAGAAGCGTGGGACTCTTCCAAGAATGTAGTGCACAAGTTTTGGGGGAATACTGAGGAACCACCATAGCACAATGCATGCTGGCAGCGTAAGAAGCTCAAGAATGCAAGATGAGCGTAAACGTTCAATTCTTATACTCCCATATTACTATTTTCTTGAAACCTTGGGAGCTTATAGTGAAGAACACGGTGAAGGATTTCACTAGGATGTCCGTAAAAATGGGATGTCAATACGTTAGCTGACCACTATTCGCAATAACTATTTCCTGGTTTTCATATAAACCAACGAGAGAACATAGAAAATTTAATCATTGTATTATAAGGTGTAAGTATTTAGGTTGTAGAACAAATAAAAATAAATCCTGACAAAGAGGTTATGTATGTATAATTGTATTTAACAAAATAAGAACAATTCGTTGTTTATGGAATCATAAATAAACGAATAATATACGAGGGTGAGTCCACTGAAAATCGTAAAAGTATAATAAAGAATCCAAATGTGGCACTATATCCTTATGTTAATAGGCATTTTCGTAATAGTGTGCCAGATGTCTATTTGGCATCCTTGTGAAGAAACACAAACGCCGGCGCAGGAACAGTGTAAAAATGGCTGCCCCACTAGCAACGCGCACTAGAGAGGAACAGAATTTTGTGATTCAGTTTTTGCGAAGAGAAGGTGAAACCTATTGACATTCTTCGACGAATGAATGTTCATTATGATGCGCCTGTTTGTCATAGCAGCAAGTGTACGAATGGCATTGGAAGTTCGCAAATGGTGTGACATACGTCGCGTTGTGATTCCAGAGGCCATTGCAGCGGTTGAAGCAATCGTGATGGGCAACCGCCGAGTGACATTAGACGGCATTGCAAAAGATGTACATATTAGTCATGATTGAGCGCGTCGCATTGTGCATGATGTGCTCCAATTTCAAAAGGTGTCTGCAAGATGGATACCCCCACAACTAACCTCGGAATTGAAACAGCGATGCCATCAAAACGAAACGACGTGAAATGCTGTCGGCAGCTGTTCTGCTGCAACACGAGAATGCACGTGCAACTGTTGCGACAACATCAGATCTGAGATTTAATGCCCCCTCATCCACCTTACTCGCCCGATGTATCCCCGAGCGATTTCCACGTTTGGGCCACTCAAAGTAGCCAATGGGCGACGAGAAGTTCCATTCGGATGATGAAGTAGGAAACGCGGTGCACGAGTGGTTGCGCCGTCTTCCCAAAATCTTTTTTCTGCGGCAATTCAGGCACTTTGGAAGCGCTGGCAGGAGTGCATTGAGCGTGGGGGAGACTATGTCGAAAAGTGATCCAGTTTTGTACCATGTGTGTTCTATAAATAATATATAAAAAAATAATTACGGTTTTCATTTGACTCGCCCTCGTAGTGATAAGATAAATGAAACTAAAATATGTTTATTCTTTACTGTAAGTACAGTGTGTGAAACGAATTGTTTCATTTAATTACGCTTTGAAGATAAAGAAATGAGATCTTTGTCTTACAACATCGCCTTCCCACGTGTTACAAGCATTTAACGGCCCGAGTTCCCGCAGTCATTTGTTTCGCTGCAATTGCCTCTGCAAATGAGGCCCGACAAGGATGAACAATGGGTTAGTGTCAGGACTGCTATAAAGTTTTACATTTACGAAGAAATTCATAATTATTTGGGGTATTAAACTTTTATAATCAACATATTGTGTTGTATTGAATGCTGAAATGGATAATAACCCGTTTCGCATTAAACGATTTATCAACGCAACATTAAACGTACAAGATAAAAGAAAATTCTATATATTTTTGTGATGCTCTACTTTCTTTGTCTATGCAATTTCGGCATCTTAAAGTTCCTACAATAGACTTTGTATGACTTCATAAAAATCAAGAAGTTTGAAGTATTGTGATCAAGGATGAACTCTTCATTCCTAAAAGAAACACCTAGAATAACACGGGAAACAACTTGCCTGAGGACTCGAAACGATTTACTTTATTTATTTTTACAAATTTGGTTTTAATGTAATCCGCCTAGCATCTAGATATTGCGGAAAGCTGTGCGGCCTAAGCGGACGGGACGGGACGGGACGGGACAGGACGGGATGTTGCGTTGGGCGGGGCGGCGCAAGGATTATGTGACGGGGATGACGGGTGAGGCGGAGTAAAGAAGGGTAGATCGGAGGGAGCGAAACGGGGATTTAAATAAAGTTACTGCCATTTTGCTCTCTCGATAATTTGTAATTTTTCTTGCTTAATAATTAATATAAATAAATTTCGCTCCGGTTTATTTCATCTCGTGAGTGATAAAATACAATCAGGAAAAACTGTCCGTAAATCTACACAAAAAACGGGTGTATCTCACCACGCGGCCCACCTGTTGCACGAACTGCCTGCAACCTCCGTATCTCTACGGCAGAGAGCGTTTCGTAAGGTATTTGAATTTTTTTTCGCGTGCACTCTTACATGTAGTTACATGCAATATACAATTCATGCGGTTTGTGCTCGCCGCAATAGAATCTGGATATCGATGCCTCAATATTTTTACGTTCCACTGCAGATAGAATAGTTTCCTTTTCGTGCTCAGTGATTGTGATAAATAAATTTCGTAGCAACTCTGGTTTATATCAGGTAGTGAATAATCTGAGTATGATTTAAATATAAAGTTCAGAAGCACCCCTGAACAGTCTCCGCTGAACCTCTGCCGTGCCGGTCCACCTGTGGGAAGAGCCGCGTGGAGGGGTGGGGTGCGGAGGTAGCCATAGCGACCGCCTTAGCAACGGCCAGGGCCTTCGAGAGGCTATTCTGGGGAGAAGCTCCCTGCCCGGGACGAAGTAGATTACATGGCGTTATTGATCACCAAAGACAGCGGGCACCCAAGACAATCGAATGAATGGGCGCCTTGCGCATTCACTGAGATAATATTAACTCGTTGATTTCTCAGAGTTGCCCACATATTCATTTAACACTATCGTTTATCTATTTATCTCTTTATTTTTACAAATTTGGTTTAATGTAATCCGCCTTGCATCTAGATATTGCGGAAAGCTGTGCGGCCTCAGCGGACGGGACGGGACAGGACGGGTTGTTGCGTTGGGCGGGGCGGCGCAAGGATTATGTGACGGGGATGACGGGTGAGGCGGAGTAAAGAAGGGTAGAGCGGAGGGAGCGAAACGGTGATTTGAATAAAGTTACTGCAATTTTGCTCTCTCGATAATTTGTAATTTTTCTTGCTTAATGATAAATATAAATAAATTCCACTCCGGTTTATTTCATCTCGTGAGTTATAAAATACAATCAGGAAAAACTGTCCGTAAATCTACACAAAAAACGGGTGTATCTCGCCACGCGGCCCACCTGTTGCACGAACTGCATGCAACCTCCGTATCTCTACGGCAGAGAGCGTTTCGTAAGGTATTTGAATTTTTTTTTTCCCGCGTAGATACATGCAATATTTAATTCATGCGGTTTGTGCTCGCCGCAATAGAATCTGGATATCGATGCCTCCATTTTTTTATGATCTACAGCTGATAGAATTGGTTTATTTTCGTGCTCAATGATTGTGATAAATTTCGTCGCAACTCTGGTTTCTTTCAGCTAGTGAATGGTAAAAGAATAATCTGAGCAGAGTTGATTGCAGTCGATTGAGTTCAGAGGCACCCCTGGCAGGTTCGGCGCAAACTGCGTGCCGGCCCACCTGTTGCCAGAACCGCCCACCTCGTGTAGGAAGGGTGTGCGGAGGTAGCCATAGCGACCGCCTTAGCAACGGCCAGAGCCTTCGGGAGGCTATTCTGGGAAAAGCTCCCTGCCCGGGACGAAGCATGGTGCATGGCGATATTGATCACCGGGGAGGGAGGGCACCCAAGACAACCGAACGAATCATTGAGATAATATGTAACTCGTTGATTTCTCAGAGTTGCCCACATATTTATTTAACACTATCTTTTATGTATTGGAAAATCTACCTCCACCTCCCATATTTCCAGAAAAAAATGATGCCTATATGTAGTGCTAATGGCATCGTTTCCTGTTACACATCTGTTGGGGTGAAGCGAAATTTTGGTAATATTTGGGAATCGCGAACTCTCCCCTATGCTTTTTTTGTCTGGCGCAAAAGTGTCGGTGCATAATTTGTGTGCAATTGCTTGAAATGTTCTAAAGTTTTTGTGGAACCTGTGCAGAAACACATTCATTTGGGGTAATTGTAGTTGGACGAGATCCGATATATGTGTTGCCTTTCGTGTGTTCCTTCGTGTGGTTTCCTATTTCTCATAGTAATTTGCTTCAAACAATTTAAACAAAGAAAGTGTAAAATTTTTGTTTCACGACGTTGTTTTCCGCCCAAGGTAGCCCTAAGTGAGACACTGTCGGCAAGAGGTCCGGGCTTGACCCCTGCCCAAATGTCCTCGCCCCGGGGCGGAGGTCGCGCAGAGGTCGTGTCCTCGGCGGCCGCCGCGGCAACCGCCATGGCAACCGTCGCCATGGCAATCGATCACAGCTTCCGCGAAAGGATCTGCGTCACCGGCGGTCGCCATGCCAACGCTCGCGACGCGATCCACCGGCGGAGGCTCGAAGGGGAAAGGATGACTTGTTCGGTGTCAATGTCGTGTCCAGTCGAAGGGGAAAAACTCCCTGCCTGGGATGAACATGGCGATATTGATCACAAAAGACAGCGGGCACCCAAGACAACCGAACGAGTCATTGAGATAATATGTAACTCGTTGATTTCTCAGAGTTGCCCACATATTTATTTAACACTATCGTTTATCTATTGGAGTATCTACCTCCTCCTCCTCTTCCTCCTTCTCATATATTTCCAGAAAAAAATGACGCCTAGATGTAGTGCGGTTGGCATCTTTTACTGTTACACATCTTTTGGGGTGAAGCGAAATTTTGGTAATATTTGGGAATCGCGAACTCTCCCCTATGCTTTTTTTTTGTCTGGCGCAAAAGTTTCGGTGCAGAATTTGTGTGCAATTGCTTCAAATGTTCTAAAGGTTTATGGGAATCAATACAGAAACACATTCATTTGGGGTAATTGTAGATGTAGACAGATCCGATATATGTGTTGCCTTTCGGGCGTTCCTTCGTGATTTCCTGTGATTTCTAATAGTAATTTGCCTCAAACAATTTAAACAAAGAAAGTGTAAAATTTTTGTTTCACGACGTTGTTTTCCAAGGTGACCCTAAGTGAGACACCGTCGGCAAGAGGGCTGGGCTTGACCTCTGCCCAAATGTCCTCGCCCCGGGGCGGAGGTCGCGCAGAGGTCGTGTCCTCGGCGGCAACCGCCATGGCAACCGTCGCCATGGCGATCGATCACAGCTTCCGCGAAAGGATCTGCGTCACCGGCGGTCGCCATGCCAACGCTCTCGACGCGATCCACCGGCGGAGGCTCGGAGTGGAAAATGTGACTTGTTCGGAGTCAGTTAAGTGAGGGGGATGGGATCCTCAAAAAGGTGAATATCAGTCAACAAAATTCCTTTTTAGACAGATTGAAGCATGGCAAGGCTTTCCTCGTCGTTACAAAGAACTATTTTACCAACCAAATTCTGTTCTGAAAACGAATGAGCATTTCATAGGGAATGAAGTTTGTATTTAAATGTTCTACGTATTTATCTGATTGGTCCCCGACATGTGTAGTAGTGTATTGAGGGTAAGTGTGTGTGTGTGTGAGAGAGAGAGAGAAAGAGAGAGAGAGAGAGAGAGAGAGAAAGAAAGAAAGAAAGAAAGAAAGAAAGAAAGAAAGACGGACGGACGGACGGACGGACAGACGGACGGACGGACGGACGGACAGACGGACGGACGGCAGACAGACAGACGGCCAGGACGACAGACAGACAGACCAGGCAGACAGACACGACCAGGAACAGACAGACGGCGGCAGACGGACAGACAGAACAGACAGAGCGACAGAACAGACAGACAGACGGGCAGACAGACGAAGGCAGACAGCGACGGGCAGACCGAAGACAGACGCAGACAGACAGACGGTGCAGACAGACAGAACGCAGGACGGGCAGACCAAACAGAACAGACGGGCAAGACAGACGAGACGGGCAAGAACGGCAAGCAACAGACGCAGCGCAGACACGAGGCAGGGAGGGCAGACAGGGCAGGCAGGACAGACGGGGCAGGCAGGACAGGCGGGCAGGCAGACAGACGGCAGGCAGACCAACGTGGGCAGAACGGGCAGGCAGACAAGACGGGCAGAGCAGACAGACGGGCAGGCAGACAGACGGCCAGGCAGAAGCAGACGGGCAGGAGAGACAGAGCGGGCGGCAGAACAGACGGGCAGGCAGACAGACGGGCAGGCAGAAGAGCGGGCAAGGCAGACAGACGGGCAGGCGAAAGCGGCAGGCAGCAGACAGACGGCAGGCAGACAGACGGCAGGTCAGACAGATCGGGCAGGCAGACTAGACGTGAGGAACGGACAAAAAGGAGGAAGAAAAGGCGCGCGTGCGGTCCGTGTCCCGTTTCATAGGGTGCATTCGCCTTGTCTGATCAAAAAACCACTGAAACTACCAGTCAGAAGGGACTAGAATGTTCCGTTCTGTCAGCAACTAGCGTATCTAGCAAGTGTCAAATATCCGCCACCCTCAGTGAATCCTAAGACATTGTCAGGAATAGCTTCAGGGACCCTGCAATGCTACATGGATAGGTGATCTGGAAAGAATGCTGCCGGGAGAAGAGAAGTCTATGTCGAAGAACGGCATGGTGTCTCAGGGCTTCCAACTAACTGTCACTGAAGTGCCTCTGACGGGGAGCTACCTGGGGTTCGAGTGTCGACTATGGCATATTTTCAACAATAGCTAGATAGCTGGCGTCGAGTTCAGTCGCGTTTGTCTGGAGGCGAATCAAGCGTGCCCAGCTGCTCTGATCGGATAGATATTCGTGGTTTCTCTACCCACATCATGCGAATGCCGGGCAGTACGCAAGAACCGGCCACGAACCGCGCGACCTCATCCTCCTTGTCTTTCCGAGCCATCTTTATGCTAACTTTAACACTCATCCTCGCTACAACTGCGCGCACGCAAATGCGGGGAGACCCAGCCGGGAGCTTCGAGCTGTTCCTGCAGGGGCGCGTGCCCGGCTAGTGAGTGATATCTCGTTAGCGAAAATTTCCGCAAATTGGATTCTGGTCGACGGCCGAGCATCGGCTATCCAGCGGGGAAGATGACGCCACCTTCGGGGAAGAAAGGATGCCCGCTCAACTTACGAGGACTAATGGACCTTAAGCAGTTGACGCTCTCGGAACTCACTACCAATCAATATGAAGGAAGGCAGTGCACCCTGGAGGGCGCCGAAAGTGTGACAGAGGTCGTGGCCCCGACGGGCGCCGTAGCAAACGACGCTGTGGTTGTGCAGTCGCGCGTCGCCATGGCAACCTGCTCCGTCTCTCGTGACGCAGGGCGGCGTGGGCTTTCGAAGCAGGCGCCAGGTGCCGCTATCTGATGCGCGCGCGTCACTTCCCGGGAAAGGCGTGGGCTGAGGCGTTTAATGGCTACGTGGGGGAAGTGATCAGCAGTAGGAAAAGGCAAAGACACGGTTGTTTTTTATTTTATTTTTTATTATCATTTTTTGCTGTGAGACCAATTTAAGTTTTTTATTTTAATTTTTGGAGAAGAATTGATCAACAGAAGCTCTTAATCATGTCGAACTTGCAGAAAACTTTCCCAACTTTTTCCTTTATCGATCCTAAAAAATATATGATTTTAACTTCGAACTAATTATAATAAATATACTTGGTACAGAAACACCATATCTTTGCATTATGTTTGTAAGATCTATGTTCTGACCCATCTATTTTCTTTTTCAGATTGGCCACCGACGCCGTTGCGCACACGTCCATAGCCCGTGAGTGTTAGACGTTTTGGCTTCTGGTTGCATTCGTCCGAACTATTCTCTATTCCTTAATTCCAGCTGTATTGTCTAGCATTCTTCGTTACGTGACTGCTGTTTATGTGTGGTGCAAGATACCCCGAAACTGTAGTTGTATTGCCTATCCGTTTCCTACATGATGTTTTCCCGGTAGTACTCCGTAACGTCATCCGCTATATCTGCGCCTCTCTAGTCGTGAAAACCTTGTCACAACCTCTGCTTCCAGTTGATTGTTAACACGTCTCGTTATCCTGCACTACTCTCTGCCTCTCCCATGAACGATGTGTTCCCGCTGCCATCATGATGCCTCTGCCCCAGCGTAATTTTCAGCGCATCATGTAATGGCGACCACTCAACGCACCACTAGCGCTGGGAAGTGTCTGCTCTGCTCTATAGTTGATAGTGGCTGTTTTGTGAACTTGTGTGCTTGCTTGCGCATAATGCAGATGGTTACGCGTCCGAGCCTCGTTGAGCGTTTGGTTTTGCTTCCGATTTGATAGTTCACCCTAACCTACAATGGAATGCTTGCAGCGCGGCGTGTGATGGGCAACTGCCATCAACGCGGAGGTGGTTCGCTCTAGAGAGAACTAGAGCGTAATGGTGATATCATGGTGAGCTTGCAGAGCGATGGCCAACGAGCAAGCGCGAGGTTGTTTCGCTTTCTGGTTGATTGTTGCTCTAGTTTATTGTCTACCGGTTCCGTGTGCATGCAGCGGGGTAAGCGCCAGAGAGTGGGAATTGCTTCGCTCTCTTATGGATTGTTGACCGCTCTGTATAATGGTGTGCTTCAATTTGGGACTGTTGATGTGTACAGACCAGAACGATGAATGTAGTTATCCCACTTTATCCCTCTTCTTCTCCCTCTCCCTCTTCCTCTCCTTCATCTTCCTCTCCCTCTCCCTCTTCCTCTCCTCTTTCTCTTCCCTTCCCTCCCCCTCATCCTCTCCCTCTCTCGTCTCTCTCTCCGTCTCTCCATCTCTCTCTCTCTCTCTCTCTCTCTCTCTCCTCCTCTCTCTCTCTCTCCTCTCTCTCTCTCTCTCCTTTAGTTGATTGTCCGCCGTCCAGGGTTCTGCAGCGGACGGGTAAGGGTGAGAGCGTCAAAATTGCTTCAGTTTCTATTTGATTGTTGATCTCCACTTGATTGTCACCAGAGCGTGTGGAGATTTGTTTCGCTCTGTTTAATTGATTTGGTCGCCCTGTTCAATTGGTGTGCTTCAGTTTGTGACTGTTGACGGCAAAGACGAGGGACGTTGGAACGTTGGAACGAGGGATGTTGTTATCCGAGCTATGCCTTGCTATGTGATCGTGGGCCGCCCTGGTTGTGTGCAGCGCTATGGGCAACGGCGCTAGCGCCGAGGTTGCCTCGCTCTCCAGTTGATTGTTGCTCTCTCCTTTCTCTGATCGTGGGGCCGCCTGTGGTTGGTTGCAGCGCGAGGGCAACGGCGTAGCGCCGAGTTGCTTCGCTCTCCAGTTGATTGTTGCTCTCTCGTTTTCTCTGATTGTGGGCCGCCCTGGTGTGGTTGCAGCGCGTGGGCAACGGGCGTAGCGGCCGAGGTTGCTTCGCTCTCCAGTTGATTGTTGCTCTCTCTCTTCTCTTGATCGTGGGCCGCCTGGTGTGGTTGCCAGCGCGATGGGCAAACGGCGTAGCGCCGAGGTTGCTCGCTCTTCAGTTGATTGTTGCTCTCTCTCTTTCTCTGATCGTGGGCCGCCCGCGGTGTGGTTGCAGCGCGATGGGCAACGGGCGTAGCGCCAGGTTGCTTCGCTCTCCAGTTGATTGTTGCTCTCTCTCTTTCTTGTCTGTGGCCGCCCCTGGTTTGGTTGCAGCGCGAGGGCAACGTGGCGTAGCGCCGGAGTTGCTTCGCTCTCCAGTTGATTGTGCTCTCTCTCTTTCTCTGATTGTGGGCCGCCCTTGGTGTGTTGTCAGCGCAGTGTGGGCAACGGGCGTACGCCGAGGTTGCTTCGCTCTCCAGTTGATTGTTGCTCTCTCTCTTTCTCTGATGTGGGCCGCCCTGGTGGTTGCAGCGCGATATGGCAACGGCGTAGCGCCGAGGTTTGCTTCGCTCTCCAGTTGATTGTTGCTCTCTCTCTTTCTCTGATTGTCGGCCGCCCTGGTGTGGTTGCAGCGCGATGGGCAAACGGGCGTAGCGCCGAGGTTTGCTTCGCTCTCCAGTTGATTGTTGCCTCTCTCTTTCTCTGATCGTGGGCCGCTGGTGTTGGTTGCAGCGCGATGGGCAACGGGCAGAGCGACGAGCGGCGAGGGCGAGCCGCCGGCGCGGGCGCGGGCGCCCGGGCGGCGCGGCCGCTGCCCGACGCGGAGGCGGCGGCGGCGGCGCTGGCGTCGATCGCGCGGGGCGTGGCTGCGCTGGAGGGTGCCTGGTTGCGGCCTGCGGCGCGCGCTGGGCGGCGGAGGAGGCGTGGCGGCGCGCGGGCGGGCGAGGCCTGCGCCAGGCGAGGCGGCGGCGGAGCGGCGGGCGCGCCGCCGTCGAGGAGCGGCTGCGCTGCGTGGCGGACGAGAGCGGGCGCCGCGTCGCCCTGGCCGAGGAGCGCGCGCGCGACGCCAACGACGCGGTGAGTGCACGGCGAAGGGCTACTTTCTTCCAGGGCGCAGAACATGATCACTTTTTCCCAATGAACATCTATTGGGGAATTGCATGTGTACAGTTATCGTAAATGGTAGGCAACTGACGAGTCACTGGTGTTTAGCAGGTGTATGAACTCCTTATGGGAATACCTTCTCACAACCAATGGCTATATTGAATTTTACTTCCTCGCAAACTACGTACTTGCGTAATAAAAGGTAAATAGGAAGATTTTTCAGCAGGGATACTCGTATTATTAGTCGTGATATTGATAAAAGTATACGAGTTCGTAATTCTTAATTCGTGCTTCTATTATGCAATAATGTTTGCTATTATTGCAAATTACCTCTCTCTCTATTGTGCAGTCAGAATCCACGTTTGTGGGTCCATGTAACCGAAAAATTGGTTTACAGCAAAACGTGTCCTAACGGACAGATGTTTTGCTGTGAACCACTTTTTTTGTACCAAAGACCGCCCATCCATCCGTCAGCCCGCGCTCAGTACTAACGCCGAAACCGTTCAGGCGATCTTCTCAAAATTTAATGTTCTCCGAATGATGCGGGCGAATTCATGGCCCTGTGTGTTTGATAAGCCTATTTTGCTTTTGTTTTTGTTTTTTTGGTGTGAGGTCTTAGCAACATTATTAATTTTTCTCAAAAATGGCTCCATAGTGAATTAAATCTTTTCCGCGGAGAAAGCAAAAGACGCAATGGGAACAGGTTTCGTTTAACTCCGTCCGTTGAAACTTGAAATTTGAGAAAATTGCAAAAGTTAACATTTCGCGTCTTCTTATAACTACAATATTGAAGATGGATTTTTTTCTTATGAAATATTGTACCCACTGGCAAAATAGATCTTAAAATAATACCATGTATATTTTTTAAAATTTGACTTGCACCTGTTAAAATTTTATTTTGGTACGTCTGGATGATTTTAAAATGGGACTGAGCCTTTTGGAAAAGCTCATAGTGTGCTAAATAAAAGTTATAGTTCGAATCCCAACTTAAGCGAGAGTTTTACAATTGGAAACTGTGTCCCAGCAATATTTTAAAACCATTTAAGTATAGGAAGTACGTACTTGCTTAGCACCATTACTGTTATGTCTTTATTATCCAGTTATCAGGGATGGATTCAGGGATCATTTGAGAGGGGGTTATTTGTTAAATAAGAAACATTTGTTATATTGTATATTAGTTTTGTGTGTATATGATACTATATAATTTTATTTTTTAATAATTACTTAATTCTAAGAGAAATAAATATTTAAATCAATTCTGCCAAATTAAGGATGGTAACAAACGAAAACTCTAGGACTTTTCGGAGGGGAGACCATGGTCCCCATTGCCCCTCCCCCATGGACCCGCCTCTGCCAAGTACAGGAATTTGAGTTTGTCGGCCATAGCCATGCATGGAAACAGCGATGCACGTCCAAGAAGTGAACCTGAACTTAAAATGTGATCTCGTAAATGTTCGTAACATTTTTACTTAACCAATCTGCATATTGTATATCCATCTTTTCGTGAGTTTATCAATGAGTAGAGAGCGTCTCCCCTTGTCGTCCGAAATGTACCGAATGTCGAAATGTTAAAAAAAGGTTATCAGATGAGATAAAACGTATATTACACTCCGCTAAAATCTTTTCGCTAATAACACTTTTAAGAGAATTCACACTGTGTAGAAACCCTATCCACAATACAAGAATTGAAAATAAATGTCAATTTTCCGTATTCCTCAAAATAATGTCCCAAATGGAATAAAGGGGTACCTCGTTGGTAGGTTTCCTCAATCTCTTATGTTAGCTGTAAGTAATTAGTTATAAGTTAGCCTATAGTCACTGACACACGTGTAAAAGAGAATAAACTGAACCATTTAATGTTCTTGAAATAAATAAATTAATAACAACTGAATGAAAACTTACAAATTATGAGTAAATAAAAATAATAATAAACGTTAATAAATGTTGCACTATCGCGCTTGTGAATAATCAACTAATTTCACAATAATGTTCTCTTTTGGCTACTACAGAGTATTCAGCGGAATTCTGATTGTTATACCGTAACGTACCATGAAAAATCTCAAATCAAAGCCCCCCATCTCGTCCGCGGATGGACCGCTCCGCCAGCGTCGCCATGGCGACGGCCGGTGACGTAGATCCTTCCTCGGAAGCTGTGATCGATTATCATGGCGGCGGTTGCCAAGGATGAGTCCTCTGCGTGACCTCCGCTTCAGGGCGAGTACAGTCGGCCATTTTGACACGTCACGGACAGTCTTCCGTGTCGCTCTGTAAAGCAATGGGGGAGGGCAATGTTCACTTCCGTCTCTGACTTCCACGTATTACTCTTTTCGTGAACTAAGCACTCGGATTCATAAATCCCAGGCTTATCACATCCTGCGCGCTCTGACGTCGCAAGATCGGTGAACAAAGTGAACAAGAAAGTGTAGTGGTGGTGAGGGGTTGAATTGGGTTTTCTAATTACAAGAGAATGGCGTGATTTAATTAATTTAAAAAGCTTTATTTTGGCGTAAAATACGTTGTAAATTGTGTTGGACCTACTCTTTGTCAGTAATGTTTTATATCAATCGCGTCAGCCGAAGGCCGGAATTTCGTCATGAAGGCGGGCACGCCTTAAGTTAGAGGCTACAAATAACACGAAATTTCGTTCGCGGGTGTGTGTTGTTCCCGGAGTACCCGGGCAAGTCAATAGATTCCTTCGCGCTTGTTTCGATAAGAGAAAAGAACCAGATCCTATAGACATAATCACGGTGTAAAATATATCTTACACCGTGGACGTAATACTATCTTTTCGAAGAATCCAAAAAAATCCACCTTTTATTTCCAAATCATTAATTCATAAATTCATAATTTACAAGGAAAGCCACGTTCAGTAAAACGACTAATGGCGATCAGCTTTCATTCGTTTTTAAAAATAAGTGTGAATGCTCTAACATAGGATATTTCTTTTGCCAAGTTAATCCTTTCCTTGTTCTAATCGTGATTTTAATTATATTGGGGAGTTAATAGTCGAGGAAACTGCCCATAAATGCGAATGCAGGAAACATGTATAGGCGTTTTCTTCACATTGTGTGGTAACATCGATATGTTCTGTGCAAGAAAGTATTTTGGCGTAAATTGCGTTGGGAAGCCTCAAGGTTTATGTTAATCTCCGAAGGCCGGAGCCTCGTTACCAGTGTGGACACGCTTAGCGAAGCGGTAACAGAGCCCTCGAAGCGGCAACAGGCTCGGATATAAGACGCCATTTTGTTCACGGTTCTGGTGTTTTCTTCGTGTTCTCTTTACCTTGGAGGTAGTGAGACGAATCCTTCACGTGATGCACGATAAGAGACATGAGCCCTCGTATGATTTTGCAGTGTAAAAGCGCAGCGTACCTTCGTCCGAATCTTGCTTGTGACTTTTGCTGGCTGAGTTAGATCAGAGCCAGCTTTATCATTTTCTGCGACGATTCGATCCGGGGCACGGGGTTTCGAGTTTGCCGGTTTGATGCTGGATACTCGTAGTTACAACTCAGCCACTCTGTAGTCGAAAATATCAGCTGACGGCTACTTCGGTTGTTTTCCGTTCTCTCTCCGATCAGTAGCATGCGAGTACCGGAGTAGTATTCTAAGAACCGGTCTATCTTTCCTTCCTAGTTCATAATCCATCTTTCTCCTTATTACAAATACACACAGTCACAGCACTACCATACACTTAGTAGGAAACTTAGAGCTTCTCCGGGCGGGGGCGGTGACCTGCTGGGGAGATACCTGGAGGGGGAAACCTCTGGAAGGCTAAGTATAGGTCAGCCCCGGAAATAGCTGGCGAAGACCACTCCTTCTCGGGATCAACATTTACTCAGAAACTGGACTATCGTTCACAGAAGTTGATGTGCCCAGAAACATCTGTTATATCGGAAGCGATGCGAGCCGTCGTTTGTTTCTGCAAGAAATCAACGAGAGAGCCAGATAGGCGGAGGTGGAGGTTGGCGGAGTAGCTACAGGGAAAATATCATGTAGGGAACGGATAGGCAATGCAACTACAGGATCCAGGGCGCATCTAGCACCACTGATAAATGGCATCCACGTAGCTAAGAATTCTAGGCAACGCAGCTGGAAATTAAGGTAGGAGAAAAGAATAGTTTGGAACAATGCAACTACAGCCAAACGTCCACATTTCACGGGCTGTGGGCGTTCCGCAACCGCGTAGGTCGCTATATCTGAAAAAGAAAATAGATGGGCAAAACACAGATCTTCCAAACATAATGCAAAGGCAATGGTGTTTCTGCACCAAGTATGATTATTATAACTAGTTCGAGTTAAAATCATAATATTTTTTAGGATCGATAACTGGGAATGTTTTCTGCGAGTTCTAGACATGATTAAGAGCTTCTGTTGATCAATTCTTCTCCAAAAATTAAAAATAAAAACTTAAATTGGTCTCACAGCAAAAAATGATAATAAAAAATAAAATAAAAAACACCGTGTCTTTGCCTTTCCTACTGCTGATCACTTCCCCCACGTAGCCATTAAACGCCTCAGCCCACGCCTTTCCCGGGAAGTGACGCGCGCGCATCAGATAGCGGCACCTGCGCCTGCTTCGAAGCCCACGCCGCCCTGCGACGCGAGAGACGGAGAAGGTTGCCATGGCGACGCGCGACTGCACAACCACAGCGTCGGTTGCTACGGCGCCCGTCGGGGCCACGACCTCCTGTCACCTTCGGGCGCCCTCCAGGGTGCACTGCCCTTCCTTCATATTGATTGAGTAGTGATTCCGAGAGCGTCAACTGCTTAAGTCATTAGTCCCGTAAGTGTAGGGCATCTTTCTTCCCCGGAAGGTGGCGGTCATCTTCCCCGCTGGATAGCCAGATCCGCCGTCGACCAGAATCCAATTGCGGAAATTTTCGCTAACGAGATATCACTCACTAGCGCTGAGTGGCTTGAGTGGCTGTGTAGCGGATGTGTGTTAAAGTCAGAATAAAGAAATGGCTCGGAAAG